ACTACGGAAAACAGGTGGTACTGGTTTAATTTCTATTCACCGCCTTGCGATTGTGCATTCCTGGCTGCTGCAGTATGCTTAGGAGGAAGATGTTGGGATCAGTCACCCCAAACTGATTATTATGGTCCTAGTGATCTTCATCAGGAGGCAATCATGAATTACTCACTTGTTTCCCATTTACATGTTTGTATCAACTGATTTTACAGTACTGCCTGACAGGGAATATGGAAACGCGGCCACTTCGCACTGAAATATGCCACTGACTCACCGCTGAGGGGGAAGGAGTTTGAGCCCTCTCCCAAGCAAGAAATGGGCAAGTACAAGACACAACACCCGACCTAACAAAGGGGACGTCTGCATTTGCCAGGCAGTGAAATAATGTTTAATTAAGAGTATTGACGAGATTAGACGTGGGAAGCAAGCAAGCAGAGGGGGAAAGATTACGCCTGAAGTCCTCCAGGGAGTCTGGACAAAAGGAAAATTGGCTCTGGCAGCTAACATGCTCTGCCACGGAGGAAAGAGGTTTCTAATGAGTGAGGCTCTAATGGACACAGCCTGAGATGTCAGAAAATGTTGAATACTACCTTGATCAGGATGGGCAGCAAATCAGCTGGACGGGAGAGAGGTGTTTCTAACGTAGCTTCACTAAAAGCAGATTAGTCATATGGTGGTTTTTTTCCTTCTTTCCTGTTTTTCATACCCACTTGTAACTGTATTGCCTGTTTTGGATGCTGTACATACACACTTTCATCTGAATTTACCTTCATTTGGCTTGAGTTAAATGCATTTCCAAACCAACTTCGAGCCACACTTCAACCCAAGGCTATGGCAAATAATCAGCCAGAGACTCCTGGACCCCTTCAAACTTATCTAGTTCCCCAGATTAATTCCTGCAAGGGTGAGCACCCCCCCACCCCAGCTGCATAAGCTACAGATGGATGTCAGGCCTCACGTCTGGAGAGCCAGAAATGTCTTTGAGTAATCAATAGCACAAAGAAAATTCTCCAAGAAGGAAACCTTAAAGGCACGGGAGTGGGCCATCCCCATGTGCCGAAAGATGAGCTGGTGGGGAAGACGACCGGCCTGGCTGAACAGAGAGCTTGGGCTGGAACTCAAGAAAAAAACCCAGAGTTTATGACCTTTGGAAGAAGGGGCAGGCAATCTCAGGACAACAAAGATGATGTAAGGTTATGCAGGGAGAAACTCAGAAGGGTCAAAGCCCAACTAGAACTTAATCTGGCTACTGCCATAAAAGACGATAAAAAATGTTTCCATAAATATATGAGCAACAACAGGAGGGCTGAGGAGAATTTGCATCCTTCACTGGATGAGGGGGGAAACACAGAGACACAGGATGAGGAAAAGACTGAGCTACTTAATGCCTTCTTTGCCCCAGGCTTTAATAGTCAGACCAGCTGTCCTCCTTCCTGAGCTGGAAGACAAGGATGGGGAACAGAATGAAGCCCCCATAATCCAAGGGGAAATGGTTAGCAACCTGCTACACCACTGAGACACACACAAGTCTATGGGGCCGGGTGGGATCCACCCAAGGGTACAGAGGGAGCTGGTGAAATGCTCATCAATCCACTTTCCATCATTTATCAGCAGTCCTGGATGACTGGGGAGGTCCCAGTTGACTGGAGGCTGGCAAGAAGAAACAGCCTCAAGTTGTGCCAGGGGAGGTTAGATTGGATATTGTGAAGAATTTCTTCCCCAAAAGGGCTGTCAAGGACTGGAATGGGCTGCCCAGGGAAGGGGTTGAGTCCCCTCGGGCCGACGAGGTGCTTAGGGACAGGGTTTAGTGGTGGGATGGCAGGGTTAGGGGAACGGTTGGGCTTGATGATCTTAAGGCTCTTTTCCAACCTAAACGATCCTATGATCCTAAAGCAAGGCTCTGGCACACAGCCGGATACTGGGGGCACCCAGTCGTTTGGGGTTCCTAGGGCACGGGCTGTCCTAAACCAATCAGTATGAGATGCCCCTACTCAAAGCCAGGGTAGGGAACAGTCACAGATAATCATAGAATCATTGAATGGTTTGCGGTGGAAGAGTCCTTTAAAGTTCATCTGGTCCACCCTCCCTGCCATGATGACTGCTGCTAATTTCTAACCAGAGCTGAACTTGAGCTGATCTTAGAGATACGCCCTAAACTTTAGCCAATAATGAAAACTCATCATGCTGCCCTGTCTTAAAAATACATGTATCTCTTTTTGAAGAAATCAAAGGGAGAGTTTGCTGCTTAGACATAACTTTCCTAAAAATTGTTAAGAGTACAGAAATTGAGCCATCTACTCTGTTACTTTGCTAGCAGGAGCCCTAAGAAGGTTTCAGCCCCATGGACCGCCCCACGCAGTTCTCCAGCAGAGTGCGTGTATTACCATGGATCAGGGACCATTCCCTGAAGAGACAGTTACATGTTCTGGCACTATTTAGTTGACTGATGTAGCCATTAAGTGCAAGGCTGGAAAACACTGTTGAAGAAAGGACACTGTTAAACAAAACACTGCAACAAAGCATTAATAAAAACATGCCGTGCTAATGAGATGGAGTCCTACGAGAGACATCTTCAAAGCAGATCTCCCTTACACGCTTCTCTCTAGAAAGTAGTTGAAATTTTGCAATATGTTAGAGAACCAACCTTGCGGTGGGTTCCCAGATTAAAAATCTATTTTGAAACCAAAATTAGCAAAACCAAGTTCATCCTCCAATGGAGAAAGAACTTCGGGCTGCATTTTTATTTCAGATAAAACCTACAGGAGAACTGAAATTCAAGTGCTAACATCTCCAAGGAAACAGCTGGAAAACTTGGGGTCTTTGCAGATGCTGTAGTATTCTGTATTCAAAGACAAATTTTACCACATTGTACTTTGCACTCCCAGGGAAAAAAAAAATAAAATTGCAGACAAGGTGTTAGTAAGACACCACTAACTGTGCATGCAGCAAATCAAGACTTCTTGCACTGGATCTTCTTCACATCAGTTTGCTAAAATACAGCTAAAATTAGCAACACGAATGCTTTCACAAATCATTTTTTAGTAATTGCTGTACGTTTTCTGTTCTTGTCAAAAGAAGCGTTCCTTAGCACAAAGGAATTACGATTTCCTCTCTCCACGCACCACAAGCCAAGATGCTACGAGCAAACCCAACAGAAACTATTTGCTCTTTTGCCTCTTTCCTTACTGAGGAGCGAGGCGAGAGACATTTCTTAACCGTATGAAATTCCCAGTTCACATTGATACCCACGCAGCAGCAATAAACAGGACTGGCATATGTCTTAAGCTAACAAGGATTAGGGAATCCAGCAGGGTGCCCAGGTGGACAAGAAGGCCAATGGCACCTTGGCTTGTATCAGGAGTGGTGTGGCCAGCAGGAGCAGGGCAGGGAGCGTGCCCCTGTGCTGGGCACTGGGGGGGCCGCCCCTCGAGTGCTGGGGTCAGGGTTGGGCCCCTCCCTCCCCGAAGGACCTGGGGGGGGTGTCCTGGTTTCGGCTGGGATAGAGCTAATTTTCTTCATAGTAGCTAGCATAGTGCTGTGTTTTGGATTTAGTACCAGAAGAATGTTGATAACATACTGATGTTTTCAGCTGTTGCCAAGTAGTGCTCAGACTACTCAAGGACTTTTTGAGCTTCTCCTGCTTGCCCAGGTGCATAACAAGCTGGGAGTACAGCACAGCTAGCACAGCTAACCCAAACTGACCAAAGAGCTATTCCATACCATATAACGTCATGCTTGGGGGGGGGCGGTTAGTTCGGTCGGTCGGTCGCGGGGAGAC